GACCTCCTCCTCCTCCTTCTCACAGGCCGCTCGGGTGACTCGCGGGAGAGGGAAGGAGGGCGGGCCGGGACGAAGAAGCCTCCTCAGGCCCCGGGGATCCGCCTCCCGGGCGGCGAGGCCGGAAGAGGGGGATCTGTCAGCGGGGACCGTCCCTCGCACACGGGAGGCTGCGCTCTGTCCGCTTCGCCAACCGCCGCGGCGCTCGTCGAATCCACCCAGTCCGCCCTCGCCTCCCAGCTTTTTCTCCCCAGCCCCCGACCCACCTCCGGCTCCGCCCCCGCCCTCGCTCTCTCTCCCAGCAACTGAGACCACGGCAGGGAGCGCGCCGCCCAATAGCCGCCGCGCCTGGCCAGGGGGCGGGGCCTGCCGAAGCCCGCGAGGCTCCGACGGCCGCGGTGGGAGGCTGGGAGGCGGGAGCGAGCTCGCCCAGCCCCGCCCCTCAGAATCCCAGAACCGCGACCTCTGATTGGCCCTTTGTGTGCGCGTAGCCCCTCTGAAAATATTGAGGGTTCATTTGTTAACCACGGACCACCTAATTCGGTCCGCATGTGTAGGCTCCTCCTACGGGGCGGAGCTCTACCGTGTCTACGCGTTAATTAAATAACTGCTTCGAAAACTCTGGTTTTACTGCTTGCTGGACACGGGGGTCCTGTAGGGGGAGTAAATGTGGTAGAAGGGTCAAAGGATGCCCAAGTGAAGATAGTGAAGAGCGAACAAGGAAAGGATTGTAAAAATGAAAAATGTGGAAAAAAGGATATTGTGGAGGCAGCATGGATTTTGCCACTTGAATGTACGCGTTCTCTATGATGAGCGTTGGAGCATGAAGAATAAAGGGGAAGGTTCTGCAAGTCGGAAATATTTGAAGGATTTCGCTAATAAAAAAATTAATTTTTAAAGTCAATGATTTTATTGAATAAAAAGCCTTCATTTCCCAAAGAATTTATATATGTATATGTGTGTAGTTTGCAAGCGTCTTTATTGCATAAATATGGCATCATTACAAAAAATATAAATAAATCAATAATTATGTCCAATTACTTCATAACTTCAATATTCTTTTTCATTCCCCACCCACTCCACACACTCGCACGCTTATATCAGAAGTTAAGCATCTTTTCACTCAAAGAAAATGGCCAAGCTTTTTAAAGAATTTGAAGTGTAGAAATGAGGTCGATGAAACAAAGCTTTCGTATACGCAAGACTGTTAAAAAATTGTATGGAAGTGTCATTTTTAAGTACAAATGAAGTGGTGCTGGATCTTTGAGGAGAGCGAGATGGGGTCAGAAGAGGCTTTGTTAAAGTTGAAATGACCTTGAAAGAAGAAATGGCAATGGAGGAGTGCAAACTCTAGCCCTCTCACAATACTTTACCGTCCCGGATTATTCCTCTCTTACAGTTCTTTTCCAAAGAGGTCATAAAATTCAATCTTCGTAAGACAGTAGAAAGTTCTACTTGATGACATTCAAGGGCTATTTATTTTGTAACCCAGTAGCTTCTTAAATTTTAGTTTGCATGAAAACCACCTAGCAAGCTTGCTTAAAAGCTGGTTTTTTGGGCTGGTCCCAGTTTTTAATTTTAGTAGCCTCTCATGATTACCGTCTGGGTGCTCCAGGACCACACTTAGAGAAACACTTAGAGACATAGCCAAAGTTTCTTAACTATCCCTCCATGATTTCATTCCGGTACTCCTCCCAAGCTGAGGTTTCCACTATTCTCAAGCTTTCATTTTAATGCCTACTGCTTTGCACATGTTTTCCCTTTTGTTTTGGAATGCTCTTCCCAGGTACAGATTTGCCTATTGTCCCCTTAAACCACCTCAGAGTCTTCACTTCTTCCCCAGTACTCATTCAGTATTCATCTTTTTATAGCTGCACCTTGAAGATCTTTATATACTAGAAAAGCAAAGTCTGTATTACAAATTAATGATTTGACTATGCTAATCAAATAATCCAATAATTAGAGAGGTGGTATACAGAATTCAAGCAGACTAAAGACAAGTGCTCTTTATTACCTCAGATGATGGTGGTGGATAAGAAAAAAAATAAGAGGTGAACTGGAGAGGCCTGTTTTGAGAGATTTCCAAGCAATTCGATACGACCCACTAGTTTAATTTCTCAGTCATCACGGATAACCAGTTTTAGAGAAAATTACCTTCCATATTCTTAGTCTTCCTAGTCTCATGTAATTAAAACAATTGTGTGTTTTACTTTGTTCAAATACATAGAGCTTCTGGGTTTGTTTGGGATTTTTTTTAAGTCTAGAAAATGAATTAATTAGTTTGGGTTATTTTTACTCATGTGTCGCCCTCTCAAATATGTTGCAAAAAAATTTCACAGAGATCCACACTACTAATAGATTATTCTTTACTGCCTTTCCATACTCATTTTAAGTTTCAGAGTAATTGGATGGCTTGACATTTCGTAAGCTGCATCCCCTGCCACCTCTACCACCACCTTTGAGAGAGGAGATAAGAGCTGTTTACGCTGGAAGAGAAGGGAGTCTGAGAGGAGCACAAGAGCATTAGATGCTAGTGAGGATTTCTCATGCCCACCTCCACCCCACAAGCAGTAGTAATGGATAGAAATTCTAGAACTTTCAGGGAAGTTTAACAACATCATTTTTGAGTAGACTTCTCAGAGGTGATACATGTCTAGGCAAGGAGGGTTTGAGATAGCCCCTTCGCTCAATCTTCTACAGCTTTAGAGGAACAAAGAAAAGATCTCTGTAGCTTCAGTAGTGGCTGAGAAGCCTAGATGACTTGAGGCCTCAGTGTTAGGACAAGAAGAATGCAGTACGCTGGCACTAAAGACTGTCTCATCATCTCAGTGGCTTCCACAGAGATGCCAACAGTCAAGAACCAAGGCGGGCAAGGCACATTCTGTCTATGCCACTGTGAACCAAGGAGGCTCGAGAACCCAATGCCGTTACCGCATACGCCCAGACACTATTAAACCCTTGGATCTGCAAATCGGCTCTAGATAGAAGAATGAATATTGTATTGACTGATTTAAAATTTGAGATGACCAAAATCAAAATAGAAACAAAACCTAAAGTAATCAAGAATATGACTAAATTAAGTTTTCTGCCATCAGGAAGATAAAAACTCAGTTTAAAAAATGTTTATAGCCTACGTGCTACTTGGGGTGAACTAAAAGGTTAACTCAGTGAGCATGGATTACTCAAATCCTGCATATTCCCAAGAAAGAGCTGGCCCTTGATTAACTCCTGGGAGATGGCCCCTGAACCTTTATCCTACCTGATAAGAGTGTTTTTTATGCTTGAGGCTTTGGGCCACACTCCATCAGTTTGACCAGATAGTTTATGCTAACAATAGCATGACTTATGGCTAACATGGATTTTTTGTATGTGTGAGGCCCTGGATCATGCTGTGTCTCTTTGACCTCTGGAGGACTGGAGACCGAGTAGCCGAGTAGGTCAGTCACAGGGTAATCCATGCCCATGTGACTACCCATCATTTAAAATTTTGGATACCAAGGATTGGGGGAATTTTCTTGGCTGGAAACACTTTACAGGTGTTGTTACACATTGTTGCTGGGAGAATCGAGTGCTGTTTGTGGGATTCTCCCAGGAGAGGACAACTGCAAGCTTTGCTCCCGATTTCTCCTGGGCTCGACCTGTGCACCTTTTCCCTTTGCAGATTCTAATCTGCATCCTTTCTCGGTAATAAACTGTAACCGAGAGTGGGAAAATTTCTGAATCTTACGAGTCCGAGCAAATCACCAAAACTGAGGGCGGTCTTAGAGACACCCAACACGAAGGGCATGTCATTTCTCCTACTAGATTTTAATTCCTTTAGACTAACAACCATGTCTTCTACTCTGTAGTCCCTTAATAGCTCCCAAATTTGTGGAAGCTAAAAATCTAGAGCTTGCTTCCCCCTGCTTTAGTCCTCTCACCCTCTGCTCCATTCCAAGTATTTGCCTCAATTATAGTTTTTTTTCCCCTCAAATATTTGGCTCTTGAGAGCCATTTACAAAAGAGGAAGATCCAGGAGAGATATTTTCAGGTGATTTTCCTTTTCCTTCACCACCTCCCCTTTTTATTCCAGGTAAATAATGTTTTTAGAACATTATGTGCAGAGGAAAAGAAGTCATATAAAGGCTGGGGAGTGACGGGGGAAAGGGCATATTTTTCCCTTGTTTGAATGACAGAGGTAATGAAGTGGCTGTAACTAAATATTGACTCACAAGGCTTTGTTCAACTTAGACTACCTTTACAACAGTTAGAGCAAGTGGCTTAGGGACTGAAAGCAATACCTATGCAGACCGTTCTGAGAGTGTGGAGGGGCAGAGAAAAGCCCCACATTTTAATATTCTGCTTGCTCGGTGGAGGCACATTTATTGGGTTTTCTTCTGAGGTTAGGACTTGCAGAGGGGTAAAATGAAGAGGGGGGTGAGCAATGAAAAACTCAATAGATCAAGAGTAAGTCAATGAGAGAACCAAGAAGAAGAAAGAGAGTGAAAACAATGAAATGTAAAGGAAAGTAAGGGAAAAAATGAAGGGAAGAAAAGTGTAGTAACTGAGAGCTAGAAGGACAATGAGTAGATCAAAGACACCTCAACAAAGGGGCAAATAAATGAAAGATGAATGAGCGAACCAAAGCAGAAGTTTGAAAGGACTCTGAAAATGATGATATGGTTTCTTCCTGAGAAATAACTGCTAAAAATTACAGCCTAGTACAACTCCACATAAAGCACCGAAATGGCAGAAGCAATTTCTACTGTTGAAGAAATACTTCACTTGATAGTAGAATTCAAAGTCACATTTGTATTTTTAAAAAGTGTCATTCTTTGGAGTTATTGTTTTTACTCTTAACTCTACTTATGTGAACAAATCTTCATTTGTTATACAGGTTTTGTTTGCTCTTATAGTGGTGATATACGTCAGCCACTATTTTTAATTATACGTGCTTTTCTGTGCTATAATTTGTTCTTAATATAGCACAGTGATGCCTGTCACTGCCTCCATAAACCCCATCTACAGAGTTCATTGCTACTGGGGAGCATCTTTTCAGAATCTATCTATGTAAACATACTCTATACATACATACCCACACATGTATAATTTGATATAATTGGGATCACAATACGCATGATTTTAGTAACTTTTTTAACTTAATGCTATGGATTGCATTATGTCCCCTTCAAATTTACATGTTGACACTCTAACCCCAGATGTGAACCTGTTTTTGGAGATAGGGTCTTTAGGAGTTAAAGTTAAATGAGGTCAGAAGGGTGGAGCCCTAATCTGGTCAGATCAGTGTCCTTGTAAGAAGAGGAAGAGAAACCAGAGCACATTCTCAATACCTGTTTGTTTTTTTTTTCACCTTCACTCCCCAACCCCAAGCATATACACTAAGAGAAAGGCCATATGAACACCTAGCAAGGTGGCTATCTGCAAGCTAGGAGTAGAGTTCCCATCAAAAATCGAATTGGCTGGAACCTTGACCATGGACTTTCCAGTTTCCTGGACTGTGAGTAATAAATTTCTGTTATTTAAGCCATCCACTCTGTGAAACTTTATTATAGCAATTTATGCACACTAAAAAACCCAACAATACATATAGACATTTAGAAATTTACAAAATCACTTTTAATCATTGCCTATGATTTTATTAGAACAAAATTTGTTGGGGAAAAAACTATCGTCAGACATTTAAATTTTTATTAGTCAAGTTATAGGCTAACCTGGTATGACAATTTCCATGGCTCAAACAATATCAAATTTATTTCTCTTTCCTAAAAATGAATGCAGTCTGCAGCTTTGCTTCTCAATCATTCAAGGCAACATTTTCCTTCAAGCTTTTTATTCTGCCATCCCTCAAAATGTTGTTCTTACCTATGTGGCCAGATCTGGCGCATAAGCACCTTTTCCTCAAGAGAAGAACCGGCAATTTTCATCAAGTAACAAAAAATTTGAGCACTCACTTCCACTGACATGTTGTTACAAGGTCACATTTAGCTTCAAGAAAAGTTAGGAAATGTCCTCTTCAGTGAAGTAGTCATGTATTCTATTAGGGGTGGAGATTCTATTAGAGAAAGGATCAAGAGAGATCGAATGGGGCAGTGGGGACAGAAATAAGTAAACTGACACACTATTGTTTGCAGCTTCTTATTTATCTTTGTGACTTTAAATTCTTAGAAGTGGAATTTTTAGAACAAGGGTTGTGCAATTAATATCTTCGTATTTATTGCCACACTTCCCTTCAGAAATATGTTACATTACACTCCCTCCAACGTTGTATGTGAATGCCAATTTCCCCACATCTTTGCCATTATTCTAGTTAATCTTCGCCAATCTGAATGTCTAAAAGAGGTAACTCACTACCAACTTTATTTTCATCTTTTGATTAATGCTGAGACAGAACATATCTTCATACATTTAGGAACGTTTGCATCTTTTTCATTTGTGATTGCCTGATCGTGGCCTTGGCCTCTTTTTCTAGCGTGTACTCTTCTCTTTTCTTATTCATTTGAAAGGGACCATTATTTATAACGCTCCATATGTTGCAAAAATATTTTCCTATGAGTCATTTGTCTTTTAACCTTATGGATTTTTTTTTTTTTTCCTGCTAGACAAATTAACTTTTTATGTAGTCAAATTTATCACTTTTTCCTTATGGCTTTTGATTTTGTGGCACATTCAGAAATGCCTTCCATCCAGAGATTACACAAATATTTACCCATATTGTCTTCTAGGGTATGCGTTTTAATAGTAACATATTCATATGGTTTAAAAATAAATATAAAATATGAAAACTACATAGGGAAAAATCTTGTTACTATCCCTGTCCTCTTCTATCGCATTAACCTCATGACCCTTCTCTTCCTCTGGAAAATCCACTGTAAACTTGTGTGAGAATAAAAGCAAATAGAGGCAAATAACACATTAATATTATTTTTAAAATAGTTTTGATTTCATGGATTCTCTAAGAGAGCATCTAAGACCTTTACGTTTTCAGACCATATTTTGATAATCACTGCACCAGCCTGGTAGCAGGTAGACTTTTTATAAAAGCTAGATGAATGGATTAATTTATTAAATAACCCAATATTAAATTATTGGGTTATTTATAATTTTACGACCCTTTACATGTGACTGTTTCATAGTATAATTATTTTTAAATAAGCAATTCTGGAAATTTGGTAAAGAATATTGGCTTCTACATCTACTCCCCTCGGTTGTAACTCTCTTCCTCGAAATTACAGTAGCAGTTTATTGTATATAATTCTAGACCTGTCGTCTGTACATTGTATTCTTATGCACTTGTGTATTGGAGACTTCTGGCTGTCCCCAATGCACGCTCAAACACAGAGAAATAGGATTGTGATATACAGATTTTTTTCTGTATCTTGCTCTTTTTACTTTATACTCTGAATTTCTTTTCATATTTTTTGCACATAAATGTACTTCATTCTTTTTAACAACCACATAATATAAAAACAACTCTGTAACATGGATATGTTCTTATTTCAGGGAAGGAGGGGAGGGGACACCCAGTTCATTCTTGTTTCCTTATGGATGACCAGCAGTACCAACCTTATTCATTCAGTGGCTCATCCATTTCCTACTAATTTGAAATGCCACCTATAGCTTATATGAGATTTCCACATCTGCACGGGTCTGCTTCAGATACTGTTTCATTAATTTGTCTATTCCTGCATACGATTTTAATTTCCATAACTTTAAAATATATATCACAATCTTAGAGGGTAAGTCCATCCTAACTTTTCTTTTTCTTTTCAAAGTATTTAGACTATTCTTTTATGCTTATTATTCCATATGCATTTATTCTATGAGAAAACAAAGTATCTTTATTATCTGGTATAACGAATTTAAAGAATTGTGCTTATCAGAAGCATTTTGAATAAGAATACAAATAATTTTTTTGCATAGTCATATATATTCTAGTCAAAATTTATAATGTAAACTTGAAATAATTGGGAAGCAGCTTTAAAAAGATATCACAGCACTATTCATCTAAATTTTATAATCCGTTTATTAAGTTGTAAGACGAATTTTATTATTATTTTTAAAAATGAAATCATGTATTTTCAAACAGGAAATGCATGGGCCTGATGCAAAATTCAAAGTGCATAAGACTGTATATAGAAAGCAGTGCATACTAGAAAGCAGCGATGGCAGATGGCATGTAGATGCTAAGCACTAGTAGAAAAAGAATTTATGACCCTTATGTCCTTAGTGTGTGTCATTAACTCTGTCTTTGGTTCGTACTTCTATATTGCTCAGTCTTATTTTTACTATAATTAATTCTATATGTAATTGTGTTTCTCTCCTCAACAGAAGTGTGGAGTTGCCAGGGACAGCATTTGTGTTCCTTCTCTTTGTTGTCTAATGCCAAGAATACAGCCTAGAGCCTTGGGATGAAATGCAGAGAGAGAAAAGGTTGGTTTTAGTAAGACGGTGAGCTATATTAAGACTGGGTTCCAGCAGAAGTAGACACTGAAAACAATTGTCACTTAAAATATATAAATGATCATCAGCTTCCTAGACTTCTAGGAGAGACTTGATTTATGAGGAGGCCAATCATCACTGAGTTCCAGGAAACCATTTTCATTTTGCTTTAGTTGTGCAAATGCAAAGTAAAGAGCCTTTGGGAATGGAGCAGTGGTCCAGGAGCTGAAATGCTCTTCATAATTTTATAACATTTCTCAATGCTGAGCGGAATCATGTATCTGAATATTATGCTTTTTGAGCCTATCAGTTAGAGAAATGTTTGTTTCATAGATTTTGGAGGCTCATACTACTTTACACTCAAGACACTCTTAAAAATAAAGTTATAACACATACACACTTTAGGACAAAATGGAAGCTAAACAGAAAATCACTTCAAGACAGAAGAATCCCTCTTGCTTAATGCACATGAAAACACATGCAATATAAAAGTCAAACATAGCACACAATTCATTTGTTCTACATGATTTTTTAACTAAAAACTGTGTGTCGAGTGGATTGGGGAGTGGGTCTTTGTCTAAAACTGTCATATCAAAATATTGCTGCTTATAGAATATTTAGTATGGTTTTGAGTGAAAAAAACATTATGCTAAAAGATGAGTTGTCAGAAAAGTGGCATTATGGCTATTGTGGTAAAAAGTTGTAAATGGAATAGTTGTTAAGATTTAAGAATGAAAAATACACAAAACTTAGCCCGATGTGTTAAATTTTCATTCTGAAATCTACAAGCATTTGGTAAAATCTTGTTAAATGTTCCAGCCAAGTCTTAGCTATCACCACTGGGAACAAAAAGAAGTGTGTATGCCCACGCTTGGGATCAAGCAACAGGAGAGAAGGGGAGACTACTTAGAACCTCTTAGAAGGTAATGAAACATCCCAAAAGCCTCTAAAGAGAAAACAAACAAATAGGTAATATATAAAAGTCTAAGAGTCATAACAATACCACATAAGAAGCTAGAAAACAATAGAAAAATCCTTTATAATTGTGAGAAAAAATATTACCAATCTCAAAAATGTTTCTCTATTATTCATTTGAATTTTTAAAGGACAACAAAGTTCACAGCTTTATGGTTATAAGTATTCCCAAGCCCTCTCCAGCCTAAAAAGTAATCTCTTTGGAACAATGCTTCTGTTCTATTTTTACTGTTATAATCATAGCAAAGTGTACAGACTTTAATGACTGGATGCCCCCAGGAAGTTATGTGGTCTTTCTTGAGAAGCCCTGCTCCCTCTCATACCTGCCTCCAGAAAAGAATTTATTCTCTTTTTCAGAACTTCAATATCATCTATTTTGTATTATGATTAATTGTGTCCTCATTAGAATGAGAGGGTTAGAAGCTCAGTTTAATCATCTTATTTCATCCACTTGCCAGCACAAGACCTTGAACATGGTAGGTACTCAATAACTATGTGTTGAATGTTGCTACACCTTTAATGATCTTATATCTTTGGAAATATTTCTAAAAACTTTTCCATTATTTCAGACTCCCTCCCCAACACCACTCTTATTTCAAAGTAAAAAGAGGAAAATTTGTTTTAAAACTATGATTTTCTATAATCGGTTGTATAGGAAAAAAATTTCATGTTGAAATCATGAAGTTCAATCTGAGAATATTTCCTTCTTTAGTATATCAATCATTAAGACAAGTAACTATTTATTATACTCGAGTTACTATTCATTGCTCATAAATATTTGAATTGAATCACTCCAGATGAGATTTGGTAATAAAATGTTCAATTTCAAGTCTTGCTTTCTATTGAAGGAGATGATTTCAGAACTTTTAAAGCTTCGAGTACAGTACTACCTTCCTCCCCATCCCCCTCCAAATTGTACAATGAATGAATCCAGTTTGTCTCTTGCGCTGGTGAGCATTCATTCTTTGGGAATGGAAAGCAATATCCATTTAGCTCCTCTAGAAGCCAGCAGTTGCTGTCTCCTATTTCTTTTTATAGCAGCATAACATTGTAAAAGTATTAGTGTACTGGTGGGAGTATAAATTAGTTCAATTTGAAATATGTAGCAAAAACTTAATTACATTTATTCATTTGACACAAAAATTCCACTCCTAGAACTTTATTTAATGAAGAAAAGTATACATGAATGTAAATAATGCATATGTATAGTTTTTAAAAATCACAGTAATAGTTATAACAGCCACAAAAGTAGAAACAAATAAAAATGAATAGATCAATAGATAAGTAAATAGAAAAGAAAAGATGAGGAAAAATTCAAAGCATTAGCACTGGTGATGGGCAAAGTAATGGATGCCGTAATCTCCAGATTTTGTTAATCACGTCTATCCTGCTTCTCTCGTCTTACTCTTCCGCTCCATACATCTTTAAAACTTTGAAACTATGCATAATTATAATAAGTTTACATTTATATAGCTCTTTAAATAATTTATAAAAAAATATTTTACTATCTAAGAAAAATAAAATTGTCTCAAATTTGAGGAAAAGTGGTTTAGGATAGAATTTTGCTGTGATGTAATATTTAAACCACCTTCTGGGAGATATCTAGCATTTCTGAGAAAATGTTTTAAACAATTTTCTGATAGACTTTGTGAAACTAAGAGCATCTTTAGGCCGAGATGCTTTGGAGAAATGACTGATCTCAGATTTGAGGCAGGAAATATATAAAATGATCCTGAAATATCTTGTTGATCAGAAAACAAAGAATCTATGAAAGATTTCTGTGGTCACATCAAAAGGACACAGGAACCAAGTTAAAGGGGCTGCCAGTGACCAAAGTGATAATTTGAACATCAAAAAGAAGAGTGATAACCACAATGAATTAGACATATGATATGTGTGAAAATTCAAGTATTCATACATAGTCAACACAAAACCACGTTGATCATTTTGGGAGGATGCCAGAGAACCAAATAATTTGCCCAATAACAAAAAAGTATCCTGCCTCACATAAGAACTGCCCCTCAGGGAAATCTTGGGAAAATTTTTCCTTAGAGAAGAATTCTAGATTATATAAAAATAGACAAGAATTGATAAAATTACAACATCACCACACATTCCTTAATGAAATAATGGATCTAGAAAATGATCATCAATGGCTGCTAAAACCACAAGGTGAAAAGTTGGTGGGAAACTTTATAATGAATGGATGAGGCTAATAGCACCTGAAACCAAAGATCAATCTTAACATCACAAAAGGAGAGAACATTAATTATCATATTACTCTTGATATGATGCAATAGAGAGCGTACATTATTACCGCTAAATTATTTTGAGGAAAAAAAGAAATCAAACTTGAATCCAATCAAGCCCTAAATCTACCAGTTTACAGGAAATTCAGAGAATTAAAGAACGCATGGAGGTGGGGGTGGGATGGGGTGGAGAATGCGGATGATGTGTAATTGGCAAAATCCAGAACATGAGAAATTCTGTACAAATACAGATGATCTGGGTTCTTCAACATCCACGACAAAGTGACAGAGAAAGACAGGTTACCTTAGAAGTTCAGACTCAAGTTTCTGCAGGGGAGGAGAATTTTTCTTTATTCTCATATGTTCTCTGCCTGGGTTTGCAAAATAAATTGTTTACTGACAAATCAACAGGAGAAAAGGCATGCGAATGTATACAGTGTCAAAAAGGTTTATCTGGCATGAGGGGACGTCATAGAGAAAAGAGAAATACCTTCCTGTCAAAAGAGGATCAAGTTAAAGAGAAACAATAAGACAGAAAAGGGACTTTGAGCTTCAAGAGGTGACCTGTTAAGGGAAAGCAAATATATGGGTAGCTAGTGGTAGATTAGAGCTATTTAGCGAGGTTTATTTGTGTAGACTCTTTCTCGGTGGCATTTCATCTTGGGCGATAAGGCTGTTATTCTCTTGCTGGCATGGGAAGTGGTGGAATTGCTAAATTCAAAGGGAATTTATGGTTTTTTTAAAAGCAGATTTATTCAACGTCATGATCAGACTATTACATTCAACAGCATGGGTGCAAAAAAAATCTACATTAAAACCCTTTGTTGGAATGCTTTACACTTTCCACAGAACAGAAACTAAAATAACCTGTTATAGGATTAGTCACAAATATAGTCCTCGAGTTTTTTGCCCACACACATGAGTGTTATCTAAATAAAACATTCTTCTTTGTAGCAGCGAGGCCCTGCCACCACTGTGCTTGGCTGAGTTCATAAATCTCTTGTAACCTGTAGCTTTCCTGTCACTTCTCTGGCTTTCCTCTCCTGCTAAGCTTTGTTTCCTGGCAGTAATTAAAAGCTGCTGCCACTGCCATACCTACTGTTGCTTCTGAGACTGTTATTGGTTTTGTGGTTCGGTTTTGTAGTACTGGCCTCTACCACCATGGAGACTAGAGCTTCTGTCTCCAAAGTTTCCTCTTTTTGTGGGTCCAAAATTTGAAGATTCATCATTATAACTGCCAAAATCATTGTACCTTCCACCATCTCCAAAATTATTTCCGCCATTACCAAATCCATTATAGCCATCTCCATTGCCACCTTATCCTCTACCACCATGGCTGCCACCAAAGCCACCTCGACCACTGAATGACAACCCAAGTCGTCATTCCCACCAAAACTACCTCCACGACCATCACCGAAGTTTCCAGAACCACTTTGACCCCTTTGGCTGGATGAAGCATTCTTGCTTCAGAATTGTGACTGGACACAGTATGGTATTCCTGAATAACAACCTTGTCTACAGAATCATGGTCATCAAATGTTACAAAAGCGAAGTTTCTTTTTTCAGGCTCTTTGGGAGACTCCAATTTAGCCATGGGGGAGGAGACTTTAATGATACTCACTCTGAGGCATCCACCAACAGAAAGACTATAATATTTTCCAGAAGATGGGGGATGACAGAGAGCTCATCTTGTGTCGGCTTTTTCTCAATTGCCTTCAGTTTAAAATAATCTTTATGCCAGAGTGGTATATTGTGGGGTGACATAGTCTGATCTCTTACATATCTATAAGTAAAATCTGGAATTCACTTTAAAATAATCCAGTTTGAGGGTAGAGAGAAGTATACATGAATAAAATTGATTATGTACAGATACTCTTTGAAGCGAAATGATAGGTACTAGGCCATTATATATTCTCTTTAACTTTGTATGTATTTGAACCACAATAAAAAATGATTTAATTAAAGAGCCCTTGTGGGTATTAGATTTCCCCACATAGTTCTGTGAAAACTAACTGTACATGAGGGGTCTAATAACCGGTACTCAGATTTTTTTTTTGTACTTAGTCTGAAAATGTTACCTACCTACCTATTCTTGTTCAAAAAAGTGTCTGTGAAAGAAATCTATGAACTGACTTGCTTCAAGTTCCCTTGAACAAGATTGAAGAAAATTTAACTATGCAATAAATTGCTGCCATGACAACTATTTGAACAACTCCTGAGAGATAGGTAGTATAAGTATTAGTGTGCCCATTTTTTAGATAAGGAAATCGAGATTCAGAAAAGTTGATTTTTTCTAAGAACGAAGAACTCTAGTTGAATAATTGGAAGAATGATAAGTAGAATACAGATAATGTAATGCTTAGTTTAGTCCTAGATCTTCTGCACCAACTTCTTCTCTATTACCCCTACTTCCTTGCAAGGTGAAGGAAGATGTCAATGATTTCAACCCCACAGAAACCAAGGTCAATGCTGTGGAGTATTAGACATTTTCTTTCTTACTTTGATTCTATTCATTTGATTTGAGGTGTGCACAGTGAAAAAACAATCTTCCTCTTACTTTTTGTGGATAATTCTGATATATGAATATTTATTATAATATTACACCACTAGAGCTTTACTATGGGCGAGATCACTTCCTGTATAAGAATATTTTAAGGCTACTTAATTCCATTCATTAAAGTGAAAATAAATCTCTCGGACTGGATGTAAAAGGAATATGAAATTCTGGCTTGCAAAATATGACATCTCTTCTTTGTCAGCCAGACCACTGATATTCCTGAACTCCATGCTTATTTTTGTCCTGTAAAGCATTTTTTAAAAATGCATTCTGTTCAACTCTATTTGAGTGAAACCAGAAAAGGGTTTTGTCTATTCTTGCTCCAGATAATTAACATGGAAGCAGGTAACCCTGTGGGTCAGGATGATGGGAGCTGTAACTAAAGTCATAAGTAAAGTCATGACCCAAAGGGAAGCTAACGTGCCATTTAATTTGGCAACACCAAATTCATTAATAGCACGCAGGAGAATGAGATGACATGTGAACTGTGAATAGGCTTTCTCAGTGAGCTCTTTTTAACTTGAGAAGACAAAAACATGCCATTTCTATAAAAATCACAATAAAAGGGCTTTCAATCCATCAACAAATATTTATTGTTGACAGTATCACTTAGGTCAGCACTCTGAAACTAGATCTCTAGATGCTGGAGGGAAACGTATTAGAATAGAAGCACAGTAATAACCCAATTTGATTTACAAAAGACGAGGCCAAGAAAGATGGCAAAGAAAGGGAGAGCTTCAGCAAGAAATTAAAAACCACTTCTCCACAATTGAGGCAGCTAGATTTTCTTTCAAATTTTAGTGCAGTAATTCTGAGAAGAGTCTGTTAGATACTGGTGAGTTTGAAGCTGAAGCAATGGGAGAATTAGAACAAATTGGAAGAAATTCAAACTTAGTTAATCAGTGGTTGAAAAGATGACGCAATTGAGAGGATGAATAAGGGCTCTAAATCCTCGCTCGTCGCTACTGAAGTTAATAAGTAACATCTAAAGTTAACAAATGACAAGACCATGGTTTATCTAAAATACTGGTAGTCAACCTATATTAAGTATTCAATATTCATGGTATATTAAAACTACTAATAGCCAACCTATATTAAGTATTCATGTGCCAAGTATAATTTTAAGTTCTTGACATGTAAAATTCATTTCCTCTTCTCAATAATCTTATGAGATTATTTAATATTTTTAAGTATGCTATTTAAATCAACAAAGGTAACTACTAACACAATGAGTTAAAAGTTAAAAAGTGTTTTCCTCTGGAAATGGGACTAAAAAGGTAGAAAACAGCGGGGAAGGGTTCCATTGTTTTTCATTAAAACTTTTCTATACTATTTGATTTTAAAAAATTATTTCAGCGATGCATTTTCTTGTAAAAACGTGAACATTGCAGTGAAGACTGAAGGCTAAAATCCACTATGGCCACCCACTACCAGGAGCAGTACCTATTATATCAATTCAGTATATAGCTTTCAAAAATTTCATCTGTATTTACATACATACACATGAACTCTTGAAAATATATGGTACTGTGCGTCGCGTTTGTGTTTCCATATATGATATACTATTTCTTATGGATTGAATTGCATCACCCCAAAAAAAGACGTGTCGAATTACTAATCCCCCCTTACCTTAGTGTGCGGCCTTTAGATACTATTTGGAAATAGCATCTTTATAGGCATTCACAATCATTAGAGTGCATCCTAATTGAATATGACCAGTGTCCTTTTAAAACGGGTCTAGTCACTTCTTTAATTTTGTTTATGGTATTTTTTTGTTTATGTTACAAAATTTTTTTATTTTTATATAGTCAAATTTAGCAATATACTGCCTTTTTGTTCTTTGCTTTTGGTATCTTATTTAAGAAGAACATCTTCTTACTTTAAGGCTATCAACAAATTACTATGTATTTTCTTCCCTATTACTTTAATTATTTTGTTTTCAATTTTATTTTTCAACTATGTGCATGCATTATATTAATATGTTTTTAAACTTATACATCTACAATTTTTTTTTTAAAAGAACACAAGGTTTTGAGTCAGTCAGAAAGATATGGTTTGGAACCCAGTTCCGCTCCTTCCTAGTCACGTGATCTTGAGCAGATGGCCAATTATAACCTAATAGGGCTTTTGAAAAATGAATGAAATAAATATAAATGGCAGGGATTCGGTAAAAGGTATCACTATTATTTTTTAAAATGTTAATCAGCAATGTTTGCCCAAAACTGTAAAGTACTGTTACTGAATTGTATACTTAAAAATAGATTAAAAAAGTAAATCTTATATGTATTTTATCACAATTTTCAAGGTTAATTCAAAGTTTTATCAAAGATTCTATAAATTTAGGTTTGACTGGAAGAAAATTGCATGAGGTTAAAAGAAAAAATAATACCTAATCTTAGAATTTGAAAGATTATTATAATAAAGAAGTATTGAGGAAGAGAAAAGGAGGAAAAATGTATAAACATTTAATATAAATCAATTGACACAAAATTTTAACTAATATAAAAAAGTCTTATGGATAATAAATGGATTTGGAGGAAAAGATTGTTCATAATAATATAAATATAAAATATCATTATAAAATATCAAGCTTGCTTCAGCCCATTATAACAAAAGTTTTTGGTCTAAGGAGCACAGATAAGATTCTACTACAAAACAACTGGACCCCTTTCTTACACCATACACAAAAAACAACTTAAAATCATTTGAGATTTAAACATAAGAACTGAAACCATAAAACTCCTAGAAGAAAACATAGAGAAAAACCCTCTCGATATTAGCTTTTGCAATGATTTCTGGATATAATACAAAAAGCACAGGCAACAAAAGGAAAAAATAGGTAAGTGGGACTACGTCAAACTAAAAAGATTCTGCATAGCAAAAGAAACAAATCAACACAGAGAAAGTGAGAATATTTGCAAACCATATACCTGATAAAGGATGAATATCCAAAATATATAAGACAAAATAAAAAATAAAATAACCCAATTAAAAAATGGACAACGGAACTGAATAGACATTTTCCCAAAGAAGACATACAAATGTCCAATAAGTATATGAAAAGATGCTCAACATCACTAATCATCAGGGAAATGCAAATCAAAACCACAATGAGAAATCACCTTACACCTGTTGGGATGTCTATTATATATATATAAAGTAAGTGTTGTGGAAGATGTAGTGAACAGGGAAACCTTGTACATTGTTGATGGAAATTGATGCGGCCCCTGTGGAAAACGGTATGGAGATTCCTCAGAAACGATGCTAATGGAAGACAGATACAATTACACCTTATGAGGGCAATATGAGCACATGATAATATTTGAAGGGAAGTACAGGAGAATCCACAGGGAAAAGCATGCACATTGAAAGTGGCAACAAAACCTGGCAGCCAGCAACATTGAGGAGCAGAGACTTTCCATCATAAGAGTTCCTCTACTTAAGGAAAAGTTTTATTTGTAAAAGAGTCCACAGAAGGATTTGCAACCCCAAGAAAGATTAAGATATCGGGGCACTTAATTTAACAAGAATGATGAAAAAAGGAAAATATGAAAAAATGTGTCCAGATGGAAATTTCTAAATATTTCAGGCTCATGAACTTCAGAAACACGCCAACTAAAGACATTATAATCCTAAGTAATGAAATCTATTCCCTATGGATTTTTTTCACCAAACTCTATGAAGACTTGAAAATCTATCAGGGGCTCATTGGCCCTGTGATATGGTAAAATTTGAGTTTTAACTTATGTTCAG